ATCGAGGCGGGAGATCAAGTCGGAGGAGCATACCACCACATTCTATTTGGAGGATAAACTGAAATATTGTAAGTACTTCAGTCAATGTTTCGACCCAGTAGCCTAGTACAGGTATTTATTTATTTAGCTGATTAATAAACCAGCGCTTACCTGCAGCTACATAAATACTGTCTTCGCTCCACGTGCTAGTAATATTTGCTGCTATTGTGGGGAATTCTTAAACCCTGAGACCAGGATAAACTGAAAAGAGTCAAAGGAAGCTTATATAAGTTAACAGCATCTAATTAAACAAATTAATGAGATGATATACAAATGAGATTGTTGGAGTGGAGGCTTTCCTATGGAGTCAGATTTGGGTCAATATTCTAGCGCGCAAAACAAGCTACTCACGAGCGGAAAATGTGCTTTTACACGCGCATGAAATGACCCTCGCGCACAGATTAAACCCCCGCGAGCAGAGAGCCCTCTTGCTCGCTCGCACAACAAGTACATGCTTGCCCCCCAGTTGGGGTAGAAAGTGCATGAGTGCAAGCTGCACAGCCCAAAGCTCTAGCACGTTGACTTGGCGTGCACCCTCCAGGGCAGACCACTGACCCTGAACAGTCCTGCCCTTCAGCACTGCACCCCACCCTGAGAGACATGCACCTACGGTGACGGTCGCCGGGCGGGAATGGGAAGGGACCAGGCCCCCGCCACGGACCAAAAGGGGAAGGCGGCCAAAGGCCCACCTGGCAGGGGGCGCAACAAGGAGCCGGCGGGCCCTAAAGCCAAACGACCCGGAAAAAATGCCCCTTCCAACCCAGGATGACAAGGCCACCAACGCCCAAAAAAGCCGATCCACAGGGAAAGGGGCGGGACTGGCACTTCCTCCACCAAACCCCAATTATAAAAGCGTTAGAAAACATCAAGAGCGTCCTGTGCGTCTCCAACTCCACCACTTCAGAAGAAGGCATGCATCTCCCAACCGTTACTCACCAGGGCCCGAGACCGAGAGCCAGTAATGCATCTGCGGGTAGGTTGAGAAGGCCCAAATACGGCGACCTAATAATGGGTGAGGAATCGGCAATCACTACATGGGGCCCGACACTACGCGTCTGGTCTCCTCTACCGGGGGGTCGCGAAAAGACCCCGAGTGGCGGGGGGGTCGCGAGAGGGATTACAAAAAAAAGGGAAAAATAAAAAAAAAAAAATAAAAAGAATTGAAATTCAAGATTTCAAAAATAATAAAAAGTCCAAGACATTCCTGACCAATCCACAGCGGGCAGGTGTTTCTCAAAACTTTTTCATACCAGGTTGGCCGGAAAAAATTGAAATTAATTTCCACTAAAGTTTAATTTCACCTAAAATTTAACTCCCCCTTCTTCATTCTCTGGTTGAGTTCTTGTTTCTCTCCTGTCATCCTCTTTTTCTTTGGTTGAGTCTTTTTTCTTTTCCTCGTTTGTCTCTTTCTTGTGTCCTCTCTTTCCTTCTCTGTTGAGTTTTCCTTCAGGGCTGGTTTGACTTTACTGGATAGGATTCCAGCTCTCCTACTCCCCAATACTTTGACACTTCTTGCTGGTGGGGACATGGCGCT